CTTTCTTTCTCTTTCTTTCTTCTTTCTTGCATTTAGCTATCCAGTTTTCCCAACACCGTTTATTAAAGAGACTGTCTCTTCTCCATTGTATATTTTGCCTCCATTGTCGTAGATTAATTGACCATATAGACGTCAATTTATTTCTGAGTTCTCTACTCTGTTTCATTGATCTGTGTCTCTGTTTTGTGCTAGTACCATGCTGTTTTGGTCACTGTAGCTTTGTAGTAAAAGTTGAAATCTGGGGGGCAGTATACCTCCAGGTTTGCTCTTCTTTCTCAAGATTGCTTTGGCTATTCAGGGTCTTTAGTGGTTCCATACAAATTTTATGATTATTTGTTCTATTTCTGTGAAAAATGCTGTTGGTATTTGGATAGGGATTGCATTGAATCTGTAGATGGCTTTGGGTAGTATGGACATTTTAATAGATTTAATTCTTCCAGTCCATGAGCATGGTATATCTTTCCATTTATTTGTGTCCTCTTCAGTTTCTTTCATCAGTGTCTTAGCGTTCTTAGAGTACAGGTCTTTTACCTCCTAAGTTAAATTTATTCCTAGGTATTTTATTCTTTTTGATGCAATTGTAAATGAGATTGTTTTCTTAATTTCTATTTCTGATTGTTAGTTATTAGTGTATGAAAACAGCATATTTCTGTATATTAATTTTGTATCTTGCTACTGTACTGAACTTATGTATTGGTTCTAGTAGTTTTTTGGTGGAGTCTTTAGTGTTTCTGTATATAGTATCATGTCTCTGCAAATAGTGATAGCTTTACTTCTTCCTTCCCAATTTAGATGCCTCTTCTGTATTTTTTAAATATGCCATTAATCTCAGTAATCTTAGTTCATTTTTTCCAGTGTAGTTTGCATTCCACAAGGTTTATTTCTTCCTTAAAAGTTCTGTTTGGACTTCTTTTTAATATGTCCATTACTTTCCTCATTGTATTTGTATTTTCCTCAATTTTCCTGAGAATATGGAGCATATTTACAATAGTTGTTTTAATGTCCTTTTCTGCTAATTCTGCTATTTTTCTTCATGTTTAGATCTATTTCTATTAACTGATTTTTCTCTTTATGGTTTATGTTTTTCTGTTTCTTTGAATGCCCGGTCATTTTAAAATTGGATTTTGAACATTGTGATTTTAATGTTATGAGTGCTAGATTTTGTGACGTATTTTTATATAATGTTAACCTTTGTTTTAGAATGGGCTTGTTTTGGCGCGCCTGAATGGCTCAGTCAGTTAAGCGTGCGACCTCAGCTCAGGTCATGATCTCGTGGTTCATGGGTTTGAGCCCTGCGTCGGCCTCTGCGCTGACATCTTGGAGCCTGGAGCTTGCTTCAGATTCTGTGTCTCCCTCTTTCTCTTGACCCTCCCCCACTCATGCTCTGTCTCTCTCCATCTCTCAAAAATGAATAAACGTTAAAAAAAATTTAGAGTGGGGTTGCGTTATGTGGAATCAGTTTTATCCTTTTAGGTTTGCATTTAAGGGTTGTCAGGGGCGGTTGAGAGCAATCTTTCATATGGACTAATTTGGCTCCATTACTAATGCAGTACTCATCTGCAGATTCTGTCTGACAACCCATGTATGAGTGGTGGTAAGACAAATTATTTTATTTGTGGTACCCTCCATGAGCTTTACAATTTCTTTTTCTTTCCACTGGTTCTTTGTGCCCAGCCTTGAGTATTTTCCTCTTCCATGTATGTGGATCAATATTCAGTTAAAGGTGTAAGAGGACCCTTCTGTAGACCTCCAGAGCTCTCTGTCAAACTCCCTCTTCTATAGTACTCTCACCCACAAATTCTAGGTGTCTTGGCCTCTCCAAATGTTGATCTCTATGTCCTCAGCTTGGCATGACTTATGGATTCTTTTTAGGTTCCTCCTCCCTGCCCCACAGGCTAGAAAACTTCTCCATGCAGGAAGCTGGGGTAATAGTGGGGCTCACCTTGTTGTTTTTTTTTTTTTCTTCAGGGATCACAGTTCTGTATGTCTGTTGTCCAGTGTCTGGTGATTGTTGTTTCATATATTTCATCTACTGTTTTGTTATTTAAGGTAGGAGGGTAGATTATGTCTTGTTCTCCTGTCATGCTAGAAGAGGAAGGCTCACTGAAACATTTTTGATAAAAGCACACACTTAATATTCCTATGATAATTTTCTGCAGTGAAGTCCACTGAATAGGAAGGCCCTCCACAGGAGCTGCTCTGAACCGTGAATGAATGATACCATATTTTGAACTTTTTTTTTTATTAAAAAAGATTATTACAAATACTTAAGAAAAAGCAAGATGGAAAAACTAAAAACTTTTACAATCTCTTTTTTCTACTACTACCATTGTTTTCATAGTTACATATTAGCCTACATATATGCATAGTTTTACATAGTAGTAATCATGTTGTCCTTCTATTTTATGTTTTTTAAAACTATATGTCATAAAATATTTTCCTTCTTTTGTAATTCTCTTAAGTCTTTCTCTCTTTTTTTTTGTATAGTGTGGGTTTAGTTTATTTATTCTTTTCATGGAAATTATGGTTGTTTCCAGTTTTTACTATTACTTAACGTCTCTTTTTAAAATGACTGTGTAATATGTTATTTTTGTGAACCATAATTTACAACATAAATGATTACCTTAGCTTGAGGCTTTTAGGGCATTTTGAAATAATTTTGTGTTTAAATTTGGTAACTTAGAAAAGAATATAAAAGCCTGTGGCATTTCCAAAGGAAATGCATTGATGATGTCATCTGGCGCTTGTTCACTAAGGAACAGAGCTGACAGAATGTTACAGAGAAATAATCCATGTACAGAGTTAAATACCTCTCTGAAATAAAGAGCAGAAGATTCAGCTCAGTTCCATATATGTTTTGGTCCCCACCATCAGAGAATCTATGATCTAGTAGAGGATCTCGTGAAAAGCAAAGCTATCTCATTAGTTCCACAGTTGAGTTGGAAAAGATACGTCTGACTTGCTGTAACAGTTGTGTTCATTACATGAATAAATTTGCATGTACACTGGGTGAAACTGGATTTCAGACTGAGGAGCTTTAACTTGGAACTATACCAACTTCCCCTGCACCAAATCTTGTAAATTAGAAAATCAGTGTTCTGATAATATGTTTTATTAAGGCTTCCATATTCTCTTTCATAAAATTGCATGAATTTATAAAAATGAGGTATTGCTGGAACAGATGCAGAGCAGCAAGATGAGTTTCCTTTCCCTGCTACAGCCATAGGCCTTCCCTCCGATAGATCTGCTGCTCTCCTTGCTGGAATCTTGGGCAGGAGTAGGTAGTGATGGTACTCAGGTATCAAGTTCCTGTGCTGGGGCGCCTGGGTGGCTCAGTTGGTTGAGCATCTGACCAGCTCAGGTCATGATCTCATGATTCGTGAGTCTGAGCCCTGCATCGGTCTTGCTGAAGCACACAGTCTGCTTTGGATCTTCTGTCCCCCCTTCTCTGCCCCTTCCCCACTTGTGCTCTCTCTCTCAAAAATAAATAAATCTTTAAAAAAAAAAAAAACAAAGTTCCTGGGCAAATTGATTACATATTTCTTAATGTTGTTAGGCTCCTCTTTCATTCTTTTGGGAAAATCTCAGATATATTCATTCATTTGTTTGGGAGGCAGTTTATTTAAATAATAATAGCTAATACTTATAACATTTACTATGTGCCAGGCACTGATCTAAGGCTTTATATATATTAACATTTAATTTTCACAATAATTCTTCCCTGTAAGTATTGCTATAATTGTCTCATAAATGGCAGGGGCTGGAACTGGACTTTTGACAGTTAGCTTCAGGGTTAATACTCATAACCACTCACTATACACACATGCCCTAGAGTCATACCCTCCAGGTTTGAACTCTAACTTGGTTACATACAAGTGAATGTACTTAGATCAATTGGCTCCTCTGAGTCTCCGTTTTCCTCATCTCTTTGCTATATTGCATATAACCTAAGTTGGTTCACTTCTTGACACATAGTAAACTTTAGCTCTTATTAGCTATTCCTTCATTAAACACATGTACGTGGAGTGCCCACCATGTGCTTGCTCTTTCAAGGTGCAGTTGTGCTGGTTTGTCTCTTTTCTAAAATTATATCAGTACTGTACTGTATGGTCCTGAAGTTCAGCATGATAGAGGATGTTCTATATTTCCATCGTCTTTCCTCCTATTGGTAAGTGTGGAAAAGAGATAGAATCTGGTCAGAAAGGGAAGAATATTCCTGTTGATTCATGTTGCAGGTCACACAGTTAAATCAGAAGAGCTAAGACAGGTTACGTCTTTTTTTTTTTAATTTTTTTTTGAAGGTTTATTTATTTTTGAGAGAGAGAGAGAGAGAGCATGAGCAGTGGAGGGTCAGAGAGAGTTCTGGCTCCAGGCTCTGAGCTGTCAACACAGAGCCCCACGCGGGGCTTGAACTCCTGAACGGTGAGATCATGACCTGAGCTGAAGTCAGACACTTAACCAACTGAGCCACCCAGGCGCCCCAAACAGGTTACTCCTTGTTTGAAACATGACCATCCTCTATCTAGCAAGATTATTTGTTCTGTTTGACCCAGCTTAGACCTTTGGGAGAAAGATATGTATGGAGCAGGAGGGGATACTTAATCAGCCAGCCACTTCCATTGAATCAGCCCCAGCAAATATGGAAATGATAACTGTGGCAGCCAGGTTAGCCTCATATTACCACCTCGGTGTATATTTTAAACGAATGTAAAAACCAAGTATGGAAACCTGTTGGTAGGGAGTAGATGGAGGGGAACCCAGTGTAGAAGAGGAGTATTTTGATAGAAAGTGAAAAAAATTTGGAGAAGAAAAAAATCCTGGTGAAGATAGTTGAGAATAAGCCCTTATATTTTTCTCTGAGATGAGGATGTTTAATCAGAACCTTGGTATAGACTCCGTTTGGTTATTCTAATAGTATTCTTCTGAGATGTGTCTTTATCCCTCATATTTGTATTTTGTACCAGGAATCTGACAGATCTTTGTTCTTTTCTTCCTTACAGTTCTGAGGCTTTCTACCAATGCAGGCCAATGGAAAGAAGCAGCTAGCAAGGTGACGCATGCATTGGTTAATATCAGGTAAGGAATGAGAATTTACCCCTCTCAGAGCTCCTTGGCTCATCTTGAGGTTTATTGTACCTTTCTGAGTGGAGTGTGTTGAACACCACTGCTATTTTAAACCCTGATGCCTGTAGGAGTGGAAGAAATGTCGTACTTGATCAAGAAAAGCAGGAATGCGTGAGACTTTCATATTGTCATATTGAAATAACTCACAGTGCTGTACTATGAATTTTCTTACCAAGAGACGGTTGCAAGCCCTTTTCAAGCATCGCTGTTGCCAAAGTGTTTTCTGTGTATAGGCCATTTTCTCTGAAAAATTTTTTTTGCCATCCTCCATGAGTTCAGTGAATGACTCATGGGGATCTGGAACTTTGACGTTTTGCTTTACATGGCTCTTTCTATTTGTGGTAAACAGAGGCAAATGGAGCTCATGGGGCTAAGTTATTTTAGTTTCCTTATGAAACAGCAAGGCAATTACAGAGTGCTATATGTATTGGATAAAATTGATTCAGGCATGGAATTTGGTTTAGGGTCTTGAGGAAATACCACATACTCATAGGATTGAGCTGTTTGTAAATGGAGAGAATGTGCTTTCAGTATGTATCATGAAATCTCAAGCTCACTTTCCTTACATTCCTCACTCCCTTTGTGCCTATCATTTCCCATTTTCTCAACATTTATTAAATTGTTCTTGCAAACAATTGAAAAATTAACACTAAGTAGAAGAGGCAAACCCAACAGATGGGGAAACTTGATTTAGCTCCAGATGTAAGCCTTGCCAGACATTCCCAGCAATAGTAATGCACGTCTACAACTTGGTATAAATTCTTATATGTGACAGAGCTGGGATTTAGTGTTTATTTCTGTATCTTTCTTTTCTATTCTTTTTTCCTCTCTCTCTCTTTCCCTTTTTTAAAGGTAAAATGTCCCTTAGTGATTTACAGCAGTATTTGGCACGTCTGGGAACAAAAGGAAAAGTGTGAAATGTGTGTGTTGGGAGAGCTGGAATGAGGGGGCATGGGGGTGAGATGTGCTAACAAGATTGCACTGAAGGTTGATCTGCCTTACCTGACCCCAGAGACATTTTGCCGCAAACACAGTTTTATAAATCTCACAAATGCATATCCGTACCTAGCAAATAAACCAGATACTGTAGTGAGGGCTTATGATAAATGTGATTTTCTGTAAGAATCAGGAATTACAAACTGTCTTCTCCCAAATATCCCTTTGTGACCCAAGGGCAGTATGACAAATGTGGGTGTTTGAAAGAAGCTCCAGATTCTGGGCTAGAGTATGAAGTTCATACCAGTATAATTTATGTTGTGTTTATTTATTCATGTATTTACTTAGGCTTTCCAGGCAGCTCCTTTTCATCTGGGCCCTGTTTCCTTGATCACATTCCTTTATGCTTGCTTTATCTTCTACTTTGTTGCTTTCCCTTTCAGTGGCTTCTGGCTTGGCCACTGTCCTTATTCTTCCCAAGGGCCGTCAAATAGCTGATTGAAGCTTTTGGCCTGTGCTTTTCTGAATAGCCCAGAAAGCATTGGGCTGAACTTTGAGCAGATGCCTATAACCATGACCTCTTTCTTTTCTTTGCAAGTGTCTGTCAGGCCTATACCTTGACTTTCATTCCTCACATTTCCTTGATGAACTTGCTGCAGAGAATAGTTACATCATTTTCACTGTTGCTAATGAATTTCACTTGGGAGTATATGTCAGAAGTATCAAGGATCCAGTCATTTTTCTCAAGAGAATACAGGAAAAATGCGTTTGGATGTCACTTATCACTAAGGCCAGATTAGGGCAAAATACTGGTGATGCTAAGCCAGCTAAAGTTTACTTTTTTTTCTTTCTGACATTTATTTTCACTTACCAAGTGCTAAACTTTGTGCTCTTTTATATACTGTCTTCTTCTTCGATATTCAAACTCTAAAGAGTATATTATAAACTTTTAAAAATACACTCTTTCCAATGAGGAAACTGAGTCTCAAAGATATTGTGAATTGCAGAAAGTCCCACAGTTGTTATTTGGCAAAGCTGAGAATCATAAGTCCTTTAACTCCCAAGTCCAGGACTCAGGGCTCTTTCTTCTGGAAGTTCTTTATGTTTAAGAAATCTCTGCACCCAACTTGGGTCTCGATCTCCCAATCCTGAGATCAAGAGCCATACACTCCACCAGCAGAGCCGGCCTGGTGCTCCAGGGCTCGCTCTTCTGTACGGTAATGGTCCTATAGAGTTGCCATGGAGGTAAACAGAAAACTCAGTATGATGTATTGAAAGGAGCATGGAAATTTGAATTAGAGAAACTGGATTTAAAATTTTTGTGGCTACCACTTAATGTGTGACCTTGAGCAAGTTACTTATCTTCTCTGGACCTCTTTCTACTATCTGCAAAATGGAGGTCACGTTTCACAGGGAAATAGTTGTGAGAATTATGTAATGTATGTGAGAGCACTTTGTCAACTTTTAAGATACTGGCCATTTCACTGAGCATAATATATTTAAGATTCTTCTCCGTTGTAGCAAGTGTCAGAATTTCCTTCCTTTTTAAGGCTGAATAATATTCCAATTGCATGTATATGCCACATTTTGTTTATCCATTCATCTACTGATGAAATCCCAAGTGGGTTGCTTCCACCTTTTAGTTGTTTGTACATGGGTGTACAGTCCCTCCAGTCCCTGCTTTCACTTCTTCTGGGAATATATTTAGGGGTGGAATTGGTGGATCATGTGATAATTCTGTGTTTAATTTTTTGAGGAATTGCATACTGTTTTTAGGTCTAGCATTTTGAGCCTTCCTTAGAATGTTTCCTGAGTATGTCTTCATTTGTCCCTTGTATAAAAAGTTAAGATGTTAACAACCTTAAAAGATGTTTTGCTTTTTTTTTTTTTTGTGGGCAGACTTTTTTTTTGAGTTTATTATTATTATTATTTTTTAATGTTTATTTTTTACAGAGAGAGAGAGAGAGTGAGACAGAGCATGAGCGAGGGAGGGGCAGAGAGACAGGGAGACTCAGAATTGGAAGCAGGCTCCAGGCTCCGAGCTGTCAGCACAGAGCCCAATCTGGGGCTCGAACTCACAGACTGCGAGATCATGACCTGAGCCGAAGTCGGACTCTTAACCGACTGAGCCACCCAGGCGCCCCTTAAGTTTATTTTTTTAAGAGAGAGCATGTGCATGGACATCTGCATGCAAGTGAGGGAGGGGTAGAGAGAGAGGGAGAAAGAATCCCAAGCAGGCTCCCTGCTATCAGCATGGAGCCCAACACGTGTCAGAAAATTGGCCCCTTGGGTCTCCCAAGGATACTGTGGGATGTTTAACTATTGGCCACCAAGTTTATTATCAAGGGTATATAAAGGCTTAGCAGTAAAACTATGATAGTGTGTAACATTTACTTCTGTTGTCATAAAGATTGTTTGTGCTGATCCCATACCTGGAAGGGATTTCTAAGGAAGAGTGAATGAACTCTTAGCCACCTCTCCTGTAGTATGTTCTTTGATAACCAGGGGAAGGGTTTGGGCTGCATGTGAAATTTTCAGACATCTAACAGTTGAGAGGGTCTCAAACAGGTTTGGCGGTTGATGACAACTACAAGTTATGTCTTTGAGATCTTCTGGAATGCAATACATCTAACAGCAACATTAACATAGTATCTTACCAGCAGGTGAAAAGCAAGTCTGCAGACTTTTCTGTTCTTTGGAGTTTAGATTGTGACAGTGAAAATTAAAATTGCCTCCACATGCTTGGAGGCCTAAATTTGCTCAAGTGTCAGTCTGTTTGCTTTTCACTTGTCTTTCGTGGCTTAGTCATGCTAGTTCTTTAATTGTCAGAGTTATTTGTGTTTAAACAATTTGTCTCTCTCTTCCTGTTTGATCCTTCAGAGAGATTCTTAAAATGCAGCTGCTTAGAAACTGCTATTTTTTGAATTGAATTATAGTTGACATACAATGTTGTATCAGTTTCAGGTATACGACATAGTGATTTGACAGTTCTGTTCATGGTGCAGGGCTCACCATGATAAGTGTAGTTATCGTCTGTTACCATGCAAAGCTATTATAGTATTATTGATTGTATTGCCTGTGCTGTACTTTTCATCCTCGTGACTTACTTATTTTATAACTGGACATTTGTACCTCTTAATCTCCTTCACCTATACCATCAATCCCCCAACCCCACCCATCTGGCAACCACCAGTGTGTTGTCTGTATTTATTAGTCTATTTTTGTTTATTTGCTTTTTGGTTTTGTTTTTTAGATTTCATATGTAAGTGAAATCATATGGTATTTGTCTTTCTCTGACTTATTTCACTTAGCATAATATCCTCTAGGTTCATCTATGTTGTTGCCAATGACAAGATTCCATTCTTTTTTATGGCTGAGTAATATTCCATTGTGTGAGAGTGTATTTGTGTATATACCACAAATTTATCCCTTTATCTCTTGAAGGACACTTGGGTTGCTTCTGTATCTTGGCCAACGTAAATAATGCTGCAGGAAACATAGGAGTGCATATATCTTTTCAAATTAGTATTTTTGAGAAACTACTGACTTTGTTAGAACACCTGAGGTCAGGGGCGCCTGGGTGGCGCAGTCGGTTAAGCGTCCGACTTCAGCCAGGTCACGATCTCGCGGTCCGTGAGTTCGAGCCCCGCGTCAGGCTCTGGGCTGATGGCTCAGAGCCTGGAGCCTGTTTCCGATTCTGTGTCTCCCTCTCTCTCTGCCCCTCCCTCGTTCATGCTCTGTCTCTCTCTGTCCCAAAAATAAATAAACGTTGGAAAAAAAAAAAAAAAAAAAGAACACCTGAGGTCATTAACATACAGAGCCCTGTGTTTGTTCCTTTCCATGGGCAGGTTGTTCTTTGCTTTGCCTCAAGAAAATAAAATATTATTGCTCCATCTTTAAAATACCACTTTGAAAAGAAAATCCACTTTGTGTAATTGTTACTTCAAATGCCTTCACGCATCAGCTGGGCCACAAAGGAAAAATAGTCTGAGGGGCCACGTACAGGACTGGAAGGA